AAAAAAAAAAAAAAAAAAAAAAAAAAAAAAAAAAAAAAAAAAAAAAAAAAAAAAAAAAAAAAAAAAAAAAAAAAAAAAAAAAAAAAAAAAAAAAAAAAAAAAAAAAAAAAAAAAAAAAAAAAAAAAAAAAAAAAAAAAAAAAAAAAAAAAAAAAAAAAAAAAAAAAAAAAAAAAAAAAAAAAAAAAAAAAAAAAAAAAAAAAAAAAAAAAAAAAAAAAAAAAAAAAAAAAAAAAAAAAAAAAAAAAAAAAAAAAAAAAAAAAAAAAAAAAAAAAAAAAAAAAAAAAAAAAAAAAAAAAAAAAAAAAAAAAAAAAAAAAAAAAAAAAAAAAAAAAAAAAAAAAAAAAAAAAAAAAAAAAAAAAAAAAAAAAAAAAAAAAAAAAAAAAAAAAAAAAAAAAAAAAAAAAAAAAAAAAAAAAAAAAAAAAAAAAAAAAAAAAAAAAAAAAAAAAAAAAAAAAAAAAAAAAAAAAAAAAAAAAAAAAAAAAAAAAAAAAAAAAAAAAAAAAAAAAAAAAAAAAAAAAAAAAAAAAAAAAAAAAAAAAAAAAAAAAAAAAAAAAAAAAAAAAAAAAAAAAAAAAAAAAAAAAAAAAAAAAAAAAAAAAAAAAAAAAAAAAAAAAAAAAAAAAAAAAAAAAAAAAAAAAAAAAAAAAAAAAAAAAAAAAAAAAAAAAAAAAAAAAAAAAAAAAAAAAAAAAAAAAAAAAAAAAAAAAAAAAAAAAAAAAAAAAAAAAAAAAAAAAAAAAAAAAAAAAAAAAAAAAAAAAAAAAAAAAAAAAAAAAAAAAAAAAAAAAAAAAAAAAAAAAAAAAAAAAAAAAAAAAAAAAAAAAAAAAAAAAAAAAAAAAAAAAAAAAAAAAAAAAAAAAAAAAAAAAAAAAAAAAAAAAAAAAAAAAAAAAAAAAAAAAAAAAAAAAAAAAAAAAAAAAAAAAAAAAAAAAAAAAAAAAAAAAAAAAAAAAAAAAAAAAAAAAAAAAAAAAAAAAAAAAAAAAAAAAAAAAAAAAAAAAAAAAAAAAAAAAAAAAAAAAAAAAAAAAAAAAAAAAAAAAAAAAAAAAAAAAAAAAAAAAAAAAAAAAAAAAAAAAAAAAAAAAAAAAAAAAAAAAAAAAAAAAAAAAAAAAAAAAAAAAAAAAAAAAAAAAAAAAAAAAAAAAAAAAAAAAAAAAAAAAAAAAAAAAAAAAAAAAAAAAAAAAAAAAAAAAAAAAAAAAAAAAAAAAAAAAAAAAAAAAAAAAAAAAAAAAAAAAAAAAAAAAAAAAAAAAAAAAAAAAAAAAAAAAAAAAAAAAAAAAAAAAAAAAAATAGTTTTTTTCCGTTTTCTCTCTTTCTATGCTCTGTTCGCAGTCCATTGGCAGAGGAATTTAAATAAAGATTCGGTTAGTGTTCCATATTACATCGAAGTCTTTGGCTTAAATTTTGGACAGAAATTATTCCAAGTTTGTAATATGATAGTCTCTCGTCATGAAGTAAAGAATGTGTTTTTTTATTATTAATGTTGTGATAACTCGTAAACAGTCACTCCCACTTCGTGATCCGGGAAAAATCCTGATCTGTAGTAGTCTGTCTGTCTGTCTCTCTCTCTCTCTCTCTCTCTCTCTCTCTCTCTCTCTCTCTCTCTCTCTCTCTCTCTCTCTCTCTCTCTCTCTCTCTCTCTCTCATTTACTTTTCCCCTCCCCCCCTCTTTCTTCCCCCTTCCTTCCCATTTCCGAGTGAAACCTTTAACAATTACCGAAATAAAGTTTCTCTGTGAATATCAGCACGGATGGCTGCCATATCGAGAGTGCATATGAATAAGTCAGATTCATTTATGATTTTTTGACGTAAACATTAACTGTAGCGACAATTCAGAATCGAGTTAATAGTTTTATTCGAACCTAATACCGATCAAATAATTGCATATTGGATTTTTAAGTTGCTCGGAAGAATATTAATACAGAAATTTTTGATTGTACAAAAACATGCAAATGTCTGATCTAATTGAAATCCGAATAAACTATTTTTCTCTCTTATGCCATAAAAATAATCAACGCTTTTCCAAACGTAAATCAGATCCCACTGCTGTTTGATTCCGAGAAAAGCATAAACAACCTTCCATTCTATTATTATTATCATTATTTTTTATTTTTTCAATGACGCAAATCAATAAAAACATCCGATCGTGTTTTTTTTTCTTTGATATCATCGCTTTAAAATGTGTATATCATTAAGCAATGAAATCCCGTTGCCACATAACAAAAACTCGAAATATCATTTTACTCATTTATATCATCGCCTATAAAACATAATCTCGACCCTTGATAATCCCTAGAATAAAATTCCACAACAAACAAACTCGAAAAAAATAGTTTTCCTCTTTTATATCATCACTCCAACAGCATAATCACCACCGCCGCTTCACCACAGAGGACTAGCCTACAGAGTGTGTGTCACGAGTTGGGGTTTTACCTTCGTGTTTAACCCACAACAAACTGACATTTTTGTAACGGTATTTTCCTTGAAGTCTACAGTACTTAACGTCTGTGTGACTCCTGCATGGCGTTACAACAGCGAGGAAACTGTTACTGACACGCTCTTGTAACGGTTTGAATATGCAGTGGAATGATGAGAGGGCAGTGTGGGATTTGTGAGTTAGTGTGGGTAAGAAAAGCGAGTGGGAACTATTACTGCTGTTCTGTTTAAGCTGAGAACATATTTTAGATTTATGTTCGATGTAAGTTTCATCGAATGACTAAGAAGAAGACTAAAGAAAGAAAGAAAGTATAAAGTGACTGAAAATATATGTGTGAATCGACAACGAAAGCGTAAACGTGAATATCTTTGGAGAAACCGTAACGGATGTGCGGCGGGTGTATCGATAATGTTCCAAAGGAGTCAAAGAATCATGCATCTGATATTATTATTTTAGTTGCTATACAATCCGATCGATATTTAAACGAGATGGAACGACGAAACGAACCTTTACACGTGCATTCCTTTGGGAAAAACCGTAACGGCTGCACAGTATATCGACCGAGACCAGAACGGTATTGCAAAACAGCTCTTTCTGCCTCCCCGTTACGAATGCAAAGGGAACAATCGGGTTCGCTAGGCGCTTTGTTGGGTGTAATGAGCCTAATTCCTTTCCCTCTGTGTCACCCTGTAATAGTTCCTCCATTGTGTCATCTCTTTATTCCAGTAAGTTGTTGCTAATAGTTTTTTAATTGCGTTTTCTACCAAGACCTTTCTCAGGATGTCGACGTGCTGGGTAATGTTTTGCGTAATGTAACCAGTGTTATAGAAACAACAATATGGCTTTGTGTTTATTATGAATCTGTAATATAGTTTTATGGCCTCTAACAATTTCTTTCCTTATGTATATAATCAATATGCACACATAAACAGCAACACTCCTCAGCCTAATTGTTTATACCCTTTTAAAATGCATTGCAGCAGAGCGCTTGCACTTGCTTGCTTTGACTTTAGTAAGCTACATTACTCTTGCTTTTGTACTTGGCAATGCCCAGCTGCTCTCCGTCAGTCATCAAGTGTAGACTCAGAGAAAAATAGAGACTTTGCACTCAGGGACACAGTGATCTTGGGTTGCGTGAACTATAAAGCTAATTATCAGAAACAAATACACTGAAGATAAACACAAGGTGAAGTGGATCCAGAGATACACGAAAGCGTTGTGTTTATCTAGTGTATTTCCTCAAAGTTCATTATTCATTTCCCGCGCTTGCGCACTGACAATTAAAAGTTTCATATCATAAACGGAAATTGATTGATGACTGCGGACCCTCTTCCCGCCGGCCCTGCCTCAGCGGCCGCCCTTCCCGCTCTGTCCTAACTCCCGCTTGAGCCCGCGTGTCGCCCTCTCTTGCAGCCCTCCTGGACACCCTAGCGACAGCCACAGACTCCGCCAACTGCCCCGGCAAATGCATGCATGCCCTCGCCGCCCTCATCTGTAACGAGGTAGTGCAAGGGCCAGGCCTCTGTCCTAACCCCGAACACAAGTGCTGCCGGCCCAAGAGCAGTGCCAAGCGTCCTTCAGGTGAGGAGTCCGCCGCAGCCGCCGCCGCCGGAGTGCATTATCCAGCTACTAACATGCGCGCTGTGTTCACATGCCTGGCAGGTTTTCCGAGCCGGCAGGTGGACGGCATAGCGTCGGTAGATAGACTAACCCGGATACTTGGACAGAGCTTCGTGCTTGCTCTTCCTCTGTGTTTGTTGTAGACAAAAGGATACTTTCACATACTATACTATAAAGTATATGTAATAATGATGTATAATATAATGTATACATATATATATATATATATATATATATATATATATATATATATATATATATATATATATGTTTATATACCTATAATGTGTTCGTATGTCTTGTATAAAAGTATAAATATGTATATGTATGTGTGAAATAGCACACTATCTTCTGTGAACTAACACTTTTAACACCGACATCCAACTATACTTTGCATGAAGTAGACTAACAACTTGATTTACTTAATGAAACACGTGTTGCTTAGCATGATCCTAACTCTTGCCTTTCCTCTATTAACACGTCCGCTACTTATCCTTATCAAGGGAACGGTAGTCTTCCTCCTGCTGTCTTGTCTTGTGTGTGGAGCAGAAGCCCCTTGTAGACTGTCTCGATACTTTGTTGTTGCATCAGCTGTTCAGCCAAATGCATTGCAAGTGTTATTTCTTTTATCCATTACTAGAATTCGTAGAACATTTTTGAGGGTTTGCTAATTCCCACTTCAGTAATAATTTTATACTGTTTTTTGGCAGCGCCCGTAAGTTGATTTTATCTTCCAATTTCATCGTGTTAATTTTGGATTATTTGTTTTAATCTGTATGCAATCTTGTATTTTACAAGTTTATTATCAGCAGCTTATTTTATCTTCTATGTTTTTGCTTTGTTTATCCTAATGTCTATTACTATTATTTTTATTTTCAAATATATTTGTGTTTTGTATATTTTTGAAAAAAAAACTCATGTGGTTCTCTCGCGACCTCCAGGCGAGACGCTAACCCCGGGAACCGACGAGGAATCTCTCGTTACGGATTCTCTCTTGGACACGACCGAGGACCAGAATACGGAGGTAAGAGAGATTATTTTGTGCGAAGAAAGAATGCTCGTCTCCGTCTGTCATGATGTGTTTTTTGTCGTTATTGCTGCCGTGTTTGCTTCTGTCAATATGGTAGACTCTCTTCTCTTCATCTCTTTTCTCTTCTCTTCTCTTCTCTCCTTCTCTCTCAGTCTGTCTGTCTATCCATCCATCTTTCTATCTGTCTATCTATCAGTCTAATTGCGTTTTATTAATCTTCTCTAAGATTATTTTGTACGCTTACCACTCCACATAAAATGGATTATCTCCCTTGCATTTGGGCGGCCATCTGGCCACCTTCCCCCTCGCCAAAACACAAATCAAAAGCAGAATCAGAATGCGCACCTTAACCCACCCTCCCTTGCAGACGACGGCGGTGACGGAGGGGCTGTTCACCTGGGGCGGAATCGTGGACGATGAGGAAGGAGCTGAAGGCGTGGGCGAGGTCGTCGAAGGAGAGACCCTGACCAATGAACCTCCTACAGAGGAGACGCCCTTGGCCGAGGCGACCGTGGCTGAGGATCCTCTTGTTCCTGAAGATGAGGAGTTGAAGGAGGAGGAGGAAGCCGTGAAGGTCACCAAGGAAGGCATTCAAGACAAGGAGGCTGAGGAAGGTGTTACCGAGGCGGCGACCACAACGACGGCGGAAGCACAGGCTTATGCGCCGTCAAGCAGTGAGTGTTGACCGGAAATTGCTAACACCTGCCTATCATTTCTTGATAATGACAGACAGGTGTATGTGGCCCAGCATAACTAATTTTTTTTTTATTATTATCAACCCATATCCTCGTAATATCAATCTTTTCCTGCGGGAACAGTCCCATCTGCTCTTTTATTTACGATATCAGTCCCATCTGTTCTTTTGCTTATGATATTAATCTCATACGTTTTTGTTACATCAGCCTCACCAGCGCCTTTGTTTACAGTAACGACCTTGTCCGTTCTCACCCTTGCAATGCCAGTCTCACTCATTCTTTCACTTGCACTGGCAATTCAATTCGCTCCTCTCTCTCGCGCCAAACCCAGGTCTGCGCGTGTGTCCGGGCGTGTGCGTGGCGAACCGCATCAGCCAGTATTGCGAGGCGGCGCTCGACGTGGCCGAATTCTGCCGCTCCGGACTGCGCTGCTGCGTGTCGGCGGATCTGTTCTCCGACGTAGACACTCCGCCCAAGGAGTTCGTCTTGCTCAACCCGAAGAAGGTGAGTGGCCAGCGGAGTGAGGGGCCCTGTAAGATTGTTTAAGTTGGTTGCGGAGGCGTTGTTGTTCCTGGCCATCGAATGCCGTGTTTTCATAATTTAGTAGCTGTATTTTAGTTTATGTATTACTGTTCATTTTAATCATTCATACAGTACTACCGATGTCTGGGATGTGATATTTAGCAGCATGGCATAGTAAGTCACTCTACATCTCTCTTTCCTCCGGAGCAGCCCGAGCAGCAGTCCTCGTCTCCGCAAACAGAGGCGACGACCACCACGACCACCACCACCACCACGACGCAGCGCCCGACCACGACCCCTCCGCCGCCGACGACCGTGTTCACGCGCAGCCCCGATGGCCCCGCGACTACTAACGCGGCCAGCACGATCCCGGAGGAGCGTCAGTGCCGCGGCACGTGCGTCACCTCCTTCTTCGCCTTCCTGTGCGACGAGATCGACCGCTCGGGCGAGTGCCCCCGCGGAGGCAAGTGCTGCGTCACCAAGAAGCGTCGCCCCAAGCCCACGCCTCCTGAGGGTCGGCCCCCACGACCGGATCCTACAACCACGACGACCACGACGACCACCACGCCGCCTCCACCTCCTCCCGCCTCCGAGCCTGAGTACTCCCTGCCGCTGTGCCCTGGGACGTGCCTGCCCTCCATCGTGGCCTCCTTCTGCTCGCAGCCGTCCGTCATCGTCGAGGCCTCCGGCTGCGACGAAGGACACTTCTGCTGCGACAACCGGGCGGAGGAAGCGACGCCTGCCAACGCCCCGCCGCCCCCCTCGCCTCCCCGGCGGCCTCCCCCTCCCCCTCCGAGGCAGCCCCCTCTGGAGCGCCCCGTCCCGCCCGCCTTCCAGACGCTAGCGTCGCTCTTCTCACGTCCACCGCCGCCCACCAGACCGCCTCAGCTGCGCCCGCCTCGCCCGGCCCGCCCTCCCGCACCTCCTCCACCCCCACCGACGACCACCACCACCACGACCACGACGACCACTACGACTACCACAACCACCACCACGACGACCTCCTCTCCCCCTCCCTTGCCTTTGCCTTCCCTCAGCCTCCTCTCCCCCTCCCTTGCCTTTGCCTTCCCTCAGCCTCCTCTCCCCCTCCCTTGCCTTTCCCTCCCCTCACAGCCTCCTCTCCCCCTCCCTTGCCTTTCCCTCCCCTCACAGCCTCCTCTCCCCCTCCCTTGCCTTTGCCTTCCCTCAGCCTCCTCTCCCCCTCCCTTGCCTTTCCCTCCCCTCACAGCCTCCTCTCCCCCTCCCTTGCCTTTCCCTCCCCTCACAGCCTCCTCTCCCCCTCCCTTGCCTTTGCCTTCCCTCAGCCTCCTCTCCCCCTCCCTTGCCTTTGCCTTCCCTCAGCCTCCTCTCCCCCTCCCTTGCCTTTCCCTCCCCTCACAGCCTCCTCTCCCCCTCCCTTGCCTTTGCCTTCCCTCAGCCTCCTCTCCCCCTCCCTTGCCTTTGCCTTCCCTCAGCCTCCTCTCCCCCTCCCTTGCCTTTGCCTTCCCTCAGCCTCCTCTCCCCCTCCCTTGCCTTTGCCTTCCCTCAGCCTCCTCTCCCCCTCCCTTGCCTTTGCCTTCCCTCAGCCTCCTCTCCCCCTCCCTTGCCTTTGCCTTCCCTCAGCCTCCTCTCCCCCTCCCTTGCCTTTCCCTCCCCTCACAGCCTCCTCTCCCCCTCCCTTGCCTTTCCCTCCCCTCACAGCCTCCTCTCCCCCTCCCTTGCCTTTGCCTTCCCTCAGCCTCCTCTCCCCCTCCCTTGCCTTTCCCTCCCCTCACAGCCTCCTCTCCCCCTCCCTTGCCTTTCCCTCCCCTCACAGCCTCCTCTCCCCCTCCCTTGCCTTTCCCTCCCCTCACAGCCTCCTCTCCCCCTCCCTTGCCTTTGCCTTCCCTCAGCCTCCTCTCCCCCTCCCTTGCCTTTGCCTTCCCTCAGCCTCCTCTCCCCCTCCCTTGCCTTTGCCTTCCCTCAGCCTCCTCTCCCCCTCCCTTGCCTTTCCCTCCCCTCACAGCCTCCTCTCCCCCTCCCTTGCCTTTCCCTCCCCTCACAGCCTCCTCTCCCCCTCCCTTGCCTTTGCCTTCCCTCAGCCTCCTCTCCCCCTCCCTTGCCTTTGCCTTCCCTCAGCCTCCTCTCCCCCTCCCTTGCCTTTGCCTTCCCTCAGCCTCCTCTCCCCCTCCCTTGCCTTTCCCTCCCCTCACAGCCTCCTCTCCCCCTCCCTTGCCTTTGCCTTCCCTCAGCCTCCTCTCCCCCTCCCTTGCCTTTCCCTCCCCTCACAGCCTCCTCTCCCCCTCCCTTGCCTTTGCCTTCCCTCAGCCTCCTCTCCCCCTCCCTTGCCTTTGCCTTCCCTCAGCCTCCTCTCCCCCTCCCTTGCCTTTCCCTCCCCTCACAGCCTCCTCTCCCCCTCCCTTGCCTTTGCCTTCCCTCAGCCTCCTCTCCCCCTCCCTTGCCTTTCCCTCCCCTCACAGCCTCCTCTCCCCCTCCCTTGCCTTTGCCTTCCCTCAGCCTCCTCTCCCCCTCCCTTGCCTTTGCCTTCCCTCAGCCTCCTCTCCCCCTCCCTTGCCTTTGCCTTCCCTCAGCCTCCTCTCCCCCTCCCTTGCCTTTGCCTTCCCTCAGCCTCCTCTCCCCCTCCCTTGCCTTTCCCTCCCCTCACAGCCTCCTCTCCCCCTCCCTTGCCTTTGCCTTCCCTCAGCCTCCTCTCCCCCTCCCTTGCCTTTCCCTCCCCTCACAGCCTCCTCTCCCCCTCCCTTGCCTTTGCCTTCCCTCAGCCTCCTCTCCCCCTCCCTTGCCTTTCCCTCCCCTCACAGCCTCCTCTTCCCTTCCCTTCTCACCCCCTCCGCCCTCTTCCCCAGGCAACGCCGAGATGACGGACGTGTTCAAGTGCAAGAAGGACAAGACGTCGTGCTGCTCGCCCAAGTCCGCTCTCAGGGAGCTCATTCGCCACGACGAGTTCCACAACATCGCCCGGAACGACACGGCCTGGCGACCTCCCTACGACCCCAATTACCCGCAGCCGCCTTACGGGTCCCCTGGATACGAGCAGCCCTACGACCCTGCTTATGAGCGACCGCCCTACGAGCAGCCTCCTTACGAACAGCCTCCCTATGAACAGCCGCCTTATGAACAACCGCCCTATGAACAGCCTCCCTATGAACAGCCTCCTTATGAACAGCCTCCTTACGAACAACCTCCTTACGAGCAACCGGCTTATGAACAGCCTCCCTATGAACAGCCATACGAACGCCCGGCCTTTGAACGCCCAGCCTATGAACAGCCCCCGTATGAACAGCCGCCGTACAACAAGCCGTACCAACCTGAACAGCCCTATGAGAGGCCGTACCCAGTGTCTAATGTCACCCAAGGTAATGGAACAATTCTTCATTGACGCTCTCGATAGACTTCTGTTGGTAATGTATACACGGATTAATAATGGTCAAATAACTATTTAAAAAATGTGTCAAAGAAGCAATATGAATAGTGTAATAACCACGAGACATTGATAAAGCTACATCTTTCAAGTATAAGATAAAGCTAAATTCCCTTAGAGAAACCAGCCCGCGCGACCTTTCCTCCCTTCCCTCACCCATCCCTTCCACGCCCACAGCCACGCCAGTCATCCGAACCACGAAGGCCCCGGCGAGGAGCAAGTACATCTGCGGCCTGAAGGGCACCACCGGCAGGGAAGCTCGCGTCGTGGGAGGCGAGGACGCCCTCCCGGGAGAGTGGTGCTGGCAGGTGGCGCTCATCAACTCGCTCAACCAGTACCTGTGCGGCGGGGCGCTCATCGGCACTCAGTGGGTGCTCACGGCGGCCCATTGCGTCACCAAGTGAGTGCCGTCTCGCTCCCGCTTTCGCTTGGAGCGGCTGTCCCTTTCTGCTGTTCGTTGGTTCATCCGGGCAGTTCGTTTGAGCAGGGGATTCATGGGCTAGTTTCCTTGGCCAGTTTAACCCCGTAATATTTCCATATCTTCCCTTCAGATTTATCATTGTTATTGTTATTGTTATTATCATTATTATTATTTTATTATTATTATTATCATTATTATCATTATCATTATTATTATTATTATTATTATTATTATTATTATTATTATTATTATTATTATTATTATTATTATTATTATTATTATTACTACTATTATTATTATTATTATTATCATTATTATTATTATTATTATCATTATTATTATTACTACTATTATTATTATTACTAATATTATTATTACTGCTACTATTATTATTATTATCATTATACTTATTATTATTATTATTGTTGTTGTTAAGCTCATTAGGATAATATCAGTACTGCTAATAATCATTGTTAGTATTAGTATTATCCTTATTATTATCACCATCACAATTAGCATAATTATCTCCAATCATAGCATCACCCCCCCCCCCCTTTCCCCCAGCATCGTCCGCTCCGGCGACGCCATCTACGTGCGCGTGGGCGACCACGACCTGACGACCAAGTTCGGCTCACCCGGCGCCCAGACCCTCCGCGTGGCCACCACCTACATCCACCACAACCACAATTCTCAGACGCTCGACAACGACATCGCGCTCCTGAAGCTTTCGGGCCACGCCGAGCTGAAGGAGGGAGTGTGCCTCGCCTGCTTGCCTGCGCGCGGGGTCAACCAGGTAGCTGGGAAGCGGTGTGTCGTCACTGGTTACGGATACATGGGCGAGAGTGAGTATGGGCGGAAAACCGTCTTTCTTTTTTCAGTGTTCGAATGGGATTATTTTTCGTCTGTTTCTTTCTCTCTTTGTGTTATCTAATGTTGTCAAAGGTCATGGCCAGTCTTTACATGTGGAATACATAGAGCTTGATATTATACATAATTATTACATAATCAAAAGACTCACAAGAATCAAAACAATTTTTGGAAGGAAAACAAACAATAATATTACGATCAATGCTAATGCTATACCATACACCCCCCAAAAATAATAACAAAAATATTAAATAGATATAAAAATAAACCTGCCTTTCGTTTTGCGTGCAGCCGGGCCCATCCCTCTGCGCGTGCGTGAGGCGGAGGTCCCCGTGGTTTCTGACAACGAGTGCGTGAGGAAAATTAACGCGGTGACGGAGAAAATCTTCATCTTGCCTGCGTCGTCCTTCTGCGCCGGAGGAGAGAGCGGCCATGATGCCTGTCAGGTGAGTGTCGAGGAGTGCATGGTGCGTGCTTTGAAGTTTTCTTTTGTTCTTGGCTGTGGTGATCTGTGGCAGCTTGCGTGCTTTTTTTCTCTTTGAATTAGTTTATACTTTATATGCTCTTATGTAAATACCATTTATCATTTACCAAATATCATTTACTGTCCTAATATAACCTATATAACAAATCTTTCTCTCTTGAGTGGAAACATCAGTTCTCTTTCTTTCCTTACCTGTTCCCGTGCTTTATTCATTTGTTCTTCATCACCTTCACCATCATCTTTATTTAATATCACGCGTTTTTTTCTTTTCTTTTCTTTTTTGTTTTCTTACACCCTTCGCTAAACCCGTCCCATCTCGACAGGGCGACGGAGGAGGTCCCCTGGTGTGCAACGTGGACGGGTACTACGAGCTCAGCGGCCTCGTATCCTGGGGCTTCGGGTGCGGGCGGCAAGATGTACCAGGAGTATACGTGAAGGTCTCCTCCTTCATTGGCTGGATCAACCAAATCATCTCTGTGAACAATATTTGATGACTTCGTAGTTGTTGAAATGTGTTATTATTTTTTTTTTATATAAGTTTCTTCCTGCTCAAATTTATATTTTTTTCGGGTATGGGTGATATGATAAAAAAAAGGGTGTAATGTCCGTCATATGCACAAATTGCGTTGCCTATTCTTTCTTCTTGTGAGAGCAATAGTCTAAAATGGGTGGAGAGTGAGGCGGTGTTTCGGGTATGTCCCAGGTTATACAAATCTTTCTTTACGCGTACCTTGATCATTACACGATATAGGTAACACAGACACCGCTTTACACGAGCATTGGCAGGTTGGTATTGCGTGTCCACATGTACTCATTCTAATGGGTATCGTGTACTGCGCATATACTAGTTTAAAAGAAATACTACCTTTGGTTAGGCAGATCCTAGTTTTGATATGAAATTGGTTAGCACGTGGCATATCAAGTGTGGAACCAATCAAAATAACTTTTTTCGGTTTACGTGTAACATGATTGCCAACACCTTGGATTACTATGCCTTATTTACACGAAGACTGTATGTACACATACCATGGGGTTACTTCATGCTATTAGTTTATGTTCCATTGTGTATCTTGCACTTGTTCGGTTTACGTGAGGCCTATTTTACACGAGGAAGACACAGCGGACTAATAGCTTTGTTTCCATGGCGTGCATTGACGTCTGCGCTGGTTGGCTTCAGTTTCGACAAAGGACGGTGCTCTTCAGCTGAGAGAACGGGATGTTTCAGTGATTTCAGATGATCCTTAACCGCCTGGAATGTCGTGTTGGACCTCAACTCTGGTAAAGTGGTATATGGCTAACTTCACACTTATTTCCACACTAATAATTGAATTTTTTTTAAATGTTCAAAGGAAATTCTTATTGTAAGTTTAGAGATCTTCAATGTTGAGTGAAAAAAGAAAGCTCAAACCGTGGAAAATATTAGAAGCCATAATAATCTGTAGGGGTTAGTGATTTTCGTTGTGTTATTTATTTATCTTTAAGTGTTACGTGCCAGGACGGTGCTTACAAGACAGACCTGCTTTTCTCTGACTGTGCTCCTAAGACCGTGTTATGTAGACGATTTTTTAACACTGCGAAAAAAAAAACAAAAAAGTTGTGCCAGTGACTGCTCAGTGAGTAGTTATTCAACATGCCTTGAGGACCTACTGTTTATATGGGTATAAAGACGAGCGACAAGACGTGGCGACGAGTACTACCGAAAAAAAAGTCTGTTGCTAAAGCCTGATAACCTGTTACTGATGGCAGTTCCTTCCTCTCACATAAAAGGGCCTTATCTTTGCACCATATGGTCTTGAAGTGGCATTTGCGTACAGAGGTAATTGATACATGTTCTCTGTGTAGTTTTTAGTTATCAGATCTATAATTCTCGGATAGTAGGTTAGAGTAGAAGTTTGGAGATGCAGAGGGAAGTCCCATATTGGAGACGTACTTTGTGTCCATTTTACATGTTCATGGTATTTTGTGTGAATATGTTTCTCTGTTGTTTATTTTTATTGACAGTTCTGAATGTCTCAAAAATCAATAGTCATCAGCGCAGGTAATTACGGATTTTAATTGTACATGACTCGACTCCGACTATTTATTGTGTTCTAGAACCAAAGACGTGTCTTCAAAAGACATTATATGTTGACGTGAAATAATAAATATTTAAGACTCTTTTCCTTGGACTATCATTTACTATTAGAAGTAAGAAAATTATTTTCCCGACGATAATGATTAAAGACAGACTCGACTTTCCTTTGCATATATATATATATATATATATATATATATATATATATATATATATATATATATATATATATACACACACACACATATATATATACTTATATGTGTGTATGTGTGTGTGTGTGTGTGTGTGTGTGTGTGTGTGTGTGTGTGTGTGTGTGTGTGTGTGTGTGTGTGTGTGTGTGTGTGTGTGTGTGTGTGTGCGTGCGTGTGTGTATGTATGTATGTATGTACATATATATACATACATACATACGTTTACATATGTATATATGTATGTATATGAATACACACACATAATTATATATGTATTTATGTATATATATACACACATGTATGTGAATATATATATATATATATATATATATATATATATATATATATATATATATATACATATATATATATATATATATATATATATATATATATATATATATATATATATATATATATATATATATATATATATATACATACACAATGAGTTTCTTGTGTAGACATAGATACAATTGTCTGATAAGAACAAGGACAGCTTTTCACAAATAATAACAGAAAGACATCATCTGCTAATTTCACATAACTGACCCAGAAAACAATTGTGGCAGAAACCTGAATCTCTTACGTTGGCAAAAATATTCTCACATAGACATTATCACATGAAACAATTACAATAGAAATGGAAGAATTTACTACTGTCTAATAATACTTCAACTGACCAGTTTAACTTCAGTGACAAAATTACTTCATCCATGTCCATTTGACTGACGATCCTAAACGCAATTTTGATGCCTTACAGTACTGCCTCTTCCAGTATTATTATTACACTGAATATCTGTTTGTTATACAAGACGCGAAACATCACCTTCTGAAAACAGAATACATTCATCGCTACTGATTCTGCTGGAAAACTTGATATTAAATGCAAATGCAAACTATTTACATGTAGCTTCATTGTGACTGACATTAACACTTGGACCCAAAGACAATATTGCAGATCCTTTGTGTCCTTCAAACCTTATCTACTGATCATCACTTTCTAATGAACTAATCTTTACGAATGGACTACCACTGGCACTACGATAGAAATAGCTGACCTAATACAGGTATTATCATAGATTTCCACAGTTATGATACATAAACTCTTGCGACACCAACATACTGAGAAACGAGTATACTGACAACCCTGATGTTGCCGACATTATACTGCTTGACTACCACTGATACTGTAAATGTTGTTTTAACGAACATGGCGTTCGTGATGCTGCAGTGCTACAGATAACTGTGCATTGTTTCATGAAGGTTACTATCATTTTCTTCATTTTTTCCTTAAAAAACGACTACAGGCATAATGCTATGAGTAAAGATGTTTACTTTTTGGTGACTGTACTGCTAACGAGACTGGACTATTTCTCTGGCCATGTAAGTACTGCTGATAGTCTGGCACTGTAATTCATCTGACAGTACCACGTTGCAGCTATATTGTAGATTCATTTTATCAGGCCTAGTGCAGCTGTATTTCTCACAGGTCAACAGAGGCTTTAGGATATCAGTATTACTTTGATGCTTTGTAAACATGTTACCAACACTTTGACACCAAACTGCTTCTAACCGATTTACCTCATCGTTACTGGTAATGATTCTTGTTATTGGCAGCTTCTTGCTTACGGTGTTCCTGTTATTGCAAGATCATTTCTAGAAGGTGCTAAAGCTTTGGCTGCCTTCGTTTTACAAATAGTGTTATTGATATAGACTGTTAATGGACTAGACTGTTGCCAACATTGCACTGTTATTCGTGATTTAACAGACTATATATAATCACTATCAGATTTACTTCCCCAGAGCAGGTAAGACTACTTTGTTAGGAAAACTACAATAATACTGACTTGACACTTTGACCTTCACGACATTATAAGGATTGTTACCGATACTAACTGTCCCATTGCTACTTACGGGAACGTTCTCATGGTTACTGACTGACAATCACAGAGATTCTGTTTATCGAGCTTCACTGTACTCAGTGCTCACCGATTAGAATAATGATATTGACATTTTGACTAAGACTGATGTTACTACCTCACTGTTATTGCCTGTTCAACCTAGCATTACTTTGACCGCTGCAATAACTTTTGAATGAAGTATTTCTAATGTTTTTCAGTGTTACGAGTGTTGTTTTTAATGTCTATTGTTTTGGTGATGTAGAAGCAATCTCATTGTCATTGATATTGTAAGACCAGTTCCATTTTCAAATGAATTCAACAATATTGATGATTGACTCTCGCGGTGTTAGCATCACCCGGTCATCTGTCAACTTTGCCATCGCTTTATCATCTATGCCATTTATTTATTACCTATTTAATTAATCGGCATAATTTATTTATTTATTTATTTATCATTAAGCATTCACCATCACGTATTTATCTGATACTAACACTGGCAAATAGAGAGAATTTCATTACCAATACGTTATGACACTTAAATTGTTGATAATCAAAATAATGCATTTTGATTATCATAGTGTTGTCGACACCTGGCTCAGCTACACTGATACTGATGCTATTAATCGTTAGCTGACACAAATTTCTGACACAGTTCTACTAATGACTGTATCAAGTGATGCTACAGTGTAGATTATTTTCACTGTACATTGCTTAACACAGTTTTGATGAAGAGTTCAAGTAAAGACCTGACATGCTACTTTCATCACCTTACGATTTGGTACCGTAATGTTATAACACTTCGACGGCCAAATCATCAATGGCACCGAGTTACCGACACTTTGACTTAGCAGCATATATGACACTACGGTATTTTCAACTTCTTACCGAAACCATTGTATCGATTCTTGGACATGTTACATGTTAGAACCACTGCCTTAATAGGCAGTGGTTCTAGCATGTAAGTGTTTCTGATGATTTGACTGTTCGACTAGATATTTTCACTGATGCTGTGTTACTAATACTTTAGCTAGAAAGTATTGCTGACAGTGCAGTGTTATTGACATTTTGACTAGACAATGATGCTTGGAACAGGCAGTGTTACTGACATTCAGCATTAATGATACCCGTAACTATACGGTGCTCCCTGCACTGCAGTGCAATTGACACTATGACATTACAGTGTTACTGATCCTTGGATTAGACGGTGTTCCTGAAATTACATTCTTACTGACATTTTGGATAGAAGATATTGCTGACAGTGCAACTACATTGCCTTGGCCTTAACGGTGTTATTGGCAATGACTGATAAGTCTTACTGACGCTTTGGCTAAATAGTCATGGAGACCTTCCAGTGTTAGTAAACCTTAAACCATCTACCGACCTTACACTTGTTACTGGCACTTCGACTAGATGATGTTGCTGATTCTACAGTGTTACTGAAACGACGGTTCTACTGATAACTGGACTAGTGTGTGTAGCTGACTCCACTGTGTTACACTATGTATGTGTAAATCAACAGCGTTATTGATGCAACAATATTTTACATTTCAGTTTGACATTGTTATTAACACTATACTATAACTGACGCTTCAACTAGTTGTCGGTAATATTAGAGTTACTGACAATTAATTATAAACACTACGGTGTCACTAGCATTTCGACTAGACATTGTTTCCGACGCTACATTTCAGCCGATACGGCAGTGTTACTGAAACTTCAAGTAGACTGTGTTGCTAATACTATATTGTTACTGGCATGTTGAGTTAACAGTGTTATCGGCATTACTGTACAGTGTAGTTGGTACAACAGTATTACTGAGACCACAGTGTAACTTCGTTTAGACAGTGTTGTTATCGCTTTAGTATTAAGAATACTTCAGCTTGTGGTGTAATGCCACTGTTGTTACTGATTATGACTAGACATTATTACTGATGGGCCTACTGGGGTCTTCACTGACACCAGTGTTACTGGACCTATAACTAGCCAGTGTTACTGATACTGCAGTATTACTGTAGCAACAGTATTACCTTCTAACTAGACAGTGCTACCAGTACTACAGAGGCACGTGACCACTGGACTAACAGTGTTAGTATTAACACTGCAGTTTTACTGACACCTCGACCACACTGTTACCGACACTAACGTATTACAGATGCAGTGGCTAGACAGTGTTATTAACACTATAGTGTTCCTGATGCCACTGAATTGCTGACATTCTAGCTTAATAACGTTACTGACACTTTGACTAGAGAGTGTTACTAATACCATAGTGTTATTCATGCCACAGTCTTAGTGACTTTCTGACAGTTACATATACTACAGTGTTACTTGTGTTAAATAGTTATTGACTTTGATGACACGTTTTTAGTGTTACTACAATGTTATGAATTCACTGATTAGATTGTGCTTCTTGTATCATAATAGCACTGAGACGAATACACCTATTCGTGATATTTTGACTACACGCTACCAAAGACATGACATTGGCATTTTGGCTGTTCATTGTAACATTAACGTGTCACCACCATTATGACTAGACCTTGTAGCAAATTACAGTGTAAATGGCGCATTGGCATTTGACAGTTTTTTTGTTTTTTTTTATATATCTTGACACTAAATTGCTACTGGCACTTCGGCTACACTTTATTGGCACGTGCGCGGCAGTGTTGTGACCTCACTAAACAATGTTTTTGACACTAATTAGATTGCTTTTTGCATAACGGTGCTGAAATTCTGACAACAGTGTTATAAGGTTACTAATATGTAGTGCTACTGAAAATAAGTAAAAAAAATCATACTAAATTTGAACTACACATTCCAGCGTTTCTGTCACTTCGACAAGTATTACGTGAAATGTTTGCTGGCAATTTAACTAGACAGTGTTATTGGTTATTTGTCTAAATGTTACTGTCGATTTGGCCGGACAATGTTCTGGCAATTTGTCTAAACAATGTTACTAGAAATTTGACTTGACAGTGGTACCGGCAA